TTTCGTTGCAATTATAAGTATCAGTTCTAATTGGCAATTAATTCAGGTATTGATTTGCATGGTTTTTAACTAATAAAGTTTTTAAATGTTTTATTATCCAAGTTAATTGAATCTGAGATATGTCTTATATTTCACCACATCCATTACAGAATCAGATACATGGAGGAGGCTTGATCAGTGTTTGACATAGGTAAGATGATATTTTGGCTACTTGACAATAACTCATTAACAATGGGAAAGCCTTTGTGAAAACTGCCATTGGTACACCAGTTAACTCCAGGTCTAGGTCAAGTCACCCAGACTAAGTCACGACTTCCTTATGAATATCTTGGCTCTGTGGACCAAATAGCCATGATAGGCTCTAATTTATCTCCTATTACTTTCCCCCTCACACTCTCTGCTCCAGGCACATTTGCCTTCCTAACTATTCAGCAAACATACTTAACTATTCATAGAAACCTACTTGGGGAATGTTGCTATTCCTTCTACCTGGAATACTATTCCCCAGATATCCATATCAATCACCCCCTCACTTTCCTCAAGTGTTTGATAAAATATTACATTCTCCATGGAACCTTCCCTGACTATACTATTTAAAATAGTAAGCCTTTGTCCTCCCCTCATCAACATTTCCAATCCTTTTCTCTTGCTCTATATTTCCTATTGCTTTTATTGCCTTCTATCATGTTATATAATTTACATATTTAATATATTTATCTTCTTTTTTCCCCATTAGAATTAAACACCAACATTTTTAACTGTTTTGTTTACTTACATATTCTTCATGATTTTAACAGTGCCTGCCACATAGTACATGCTCAGTAAACTTTTGTTGAATGAAGAAGTATTTGAATGACAGCTCTGTGTCAACTTGACTTGGCCACAGGGTACCCAGATATTTATTTGGTGAAATATTATTCTGGGTGTGTCAGTGAGGGTGTTTCTGGACAAGGTTAATAATGGAGTTGGTAGACTAAGTAAAGTAGATTGCCCTTCCTAATGTGGCTGAGCCCTACCCAATCAGTTGAAGACCTAAATAGAACAAAAAGGCTGAACCTCACATGTTCCTCCTGCCTAAAGTACTTCAAGTCGAGACATCTGTTTTTTCCTGCCTTTACACGCAAACCAAAATGTTAGCTCTTCTCGAGGATCAAGCCTATTGGCCTAGTGCTGAGCCTACACCATTGGCTCTCCTGGGTCTCCAGCTCACCAACTGCAGATCTTGGGACTTGTCAGCCTTCATAATTTTAGGAGACAATTTCTCATTAAATCTCTCTCTCTCATATATATAGTCTGTTTCTCTGGAGAATCCTAACTAATATAGGCTCTCTTTCATTTCTCTGCAGATTTTACCTTTCTCAACTTCCCTGCTTTTCTCTCAACTGGCATGACAATTTTTATTCCAGATCACTCAAAGAACAACAACAAAAACCCTGACTATCTAGAGCTTGGGCCTTCTTCCCTTCCCTCCTTCCACAAACAACCCCAACCCCACTTAACACAAAATGTGTAATATATTCCAAGCACTATTAGAGGTGATTTTCAAAGTTCACAACAGGAAAGCATTGTCATCTCTGATGGGCAGATAAAGAGACAAATCTCAGAAATTTAGGTGATAAGCTCAATATCATCACCAAGGAGCTCTGCCACGTACTGTTTATGGGACATTAGGTAAAGTTACTTGATAAGAACTGAATGTCTGTGTCCTTTACAATTTATTCATTGAAATCCTAACTCTCAATGTGATAGTACTGGCATGGGGGTGGGGCAGGGAACCTTCAGGGGGTGATTAGGTTATGAGGGTGGAAAACTCATGAATAGAATTAGAGCTCTCATAATAGAGACCTCAAAGTGCTCCCTCATGCTTCCACATGAGGACAAAGCAAGAAGATGAACTTCTATGAACCAGGAAGCAGGTTCTCACCAGACATCAAATCTGCAGGTGCCTTGATCTTGGATATTCCAGCCTACAGAATTATAAGAAATAAATTTATGTTATTCTTAAACCATCCAGACTATGGTATTTTGTTATAGCAGTCTGAGCAACTAAGACATTATTTAATTGATTTTGTCTCAAAAGCAGTTAATAAATTATAGCACTAAATTTTATGAGGTTGTAAGATTAAATGAGTTATTACATTATCAAATTACATATTATCATATGTAGAGTGGTGAGAAAAGTACCTGGAACATAATAAGTCTCTTATTTTAGTTCTTATTATTACCTATCTCAGAGCCTCAGTTTCCTGGACCATATAACTGGGAGGTTGAGCTAGATGAACTCTGGGTGTCCCTACCATCTTGAACACACTAGGATTCAGTCTCCATTTAAAAATAATGTTTTATTGATCTGAGAGAGAGAGAGGAAGGGGGAGGGATAGAGAGATAGAAACATCTATGAGAAAGAAACATCAATCGGCTGCCTCCTGCATGCCCCCTACTGGGGATTGAGGGTACAACCTGGGCAGTGTCCTAACAGGGAATTCAACCAGGGACCTCTTGGTTCACGGGTCAATACTCAACCCCCGGCTGGGCCAGTTTCCATTTTTACCTTGAGATATCTCCCATGGAATTGGGTGTTGAGTAGACCATGGCTTTAGTTGTCATGTGGCCCCATTTCCCCAGAAAACTATTTCCATCTTTCTGAGCCCTCTGTTTTCATTTGATTCTCTTTCCCAGGAGCTGACTCACTGCATTCATTGAATTGACTGCCACAGCTCAGTTCTTCCCTAGGACTGGATGTCCTCATGGAAGGCATCCAGGTACCTTTGTTCTCTTGGGCTACCTTTGTTCTCTTGAGCTACAGCCCCCTTCCTTTCTGTTTACCAGAAAAGATTTTAATATAAAGTACAATGTGTGTTGTTTATGCTTTCATTGATGCCTGCACTTATTCCAACATGATGCTCCTTTTGGTTAACTGTCAAAAGCCATGATTTCACAGGTTATTTTTTACTGAGCCTACTTAAAGGAACAGGAAAGATACTTTCTATAATTACCTTAAATTCAGAAGAGAATTCTACCTGCACCCTTATGAGATGCTGAAAGCAATGAGTACCTTTATGCCTTTGTTTATCTCCACTTGGCTTTGAATGGGCTCTTTAGAAATTGTATTGGTTTATGCTCAGAACCCGGAAAGAGACATTTTAAAAAGGAACAAAATGGTTCCTTGTGTGCTTCCTATTTCTCTCTCACTGGTTTTCTTTTCTTTTTTCTTTTTTTAAAAGAAAATGGAATAGAGGTCTGCCTCCAGATGTACACATGTACACCCTTTGTTCAACATTTTTTGCCTTTGCCACCTGCCTTGATTTGAAATGGTCCTTCAAGGGTTTTGATAAATCAGTTGCAAAGGTGTCTGATTTCATTGTAATATCTGTAAGTGCCTTTTCTGAAAGGCTCTTTGTATGCTACCAAAGGAAATTCACCTCAGTGAGTCTTAGGAGAATCCTAAAATCGGCTATAATATGTCAGAAAGAGAGAGAGGGAATTTTTTTTCTCTTCTATCTTTACTTTGGAAAGACATTGAGGGCATTTCAGAGGAAGCAAAGCAAGTAATGAAAGAAAAAAATAATCCTTCTGAGAGACTCTTCTGCACCTGTCTTTTTTATTTCTTTTTTGATACTGTGAAACTAGAAAGTTTAAATGTGACCTTGGGACTTAGCCCTGCATTCTTCCTTAGTCATTCACCCCTGGTAACATGAGTCCTCTTTTCACCTTAGCCAGGTGAGTGAGGAGATACTGCAGGAATTTATAGACATTGATCCCCTAATCTCACCAACTGATGCTGGCATTTCTCTTTGTGTGAGCTCACCTCTATGACCACTGGACAGAACTTGAGAATAGATGGCCACTGGCAAGGTTGAAAAGAGAGAGGGCATTTCTCCAGGGTTCTCAGGGCACCACATCATCCAAAACAATCTACAGATTATGGCTGTACAATAGAGAGTCACAGGACTTGAACTATGTGACTGGATTTTATCAATTATCAAGATGTTAAAAAATCAACCAATCCCCAGCTATCCTGTGATTTTCCAATTGATGAGCCCATGAGGATAAGACTAAATAAATGGGGGATGGAATTTTCCCCTAAAAGAAAGAGAGGTCAACTGTACTAAGAAGATAGTTACTTTGGGTCGGGGGATTAGGCAACCCACAGGACTGGAAGGAGGGGGGACTTTCTGTTTTCTAATGGCCAGGCTTCGGAGTTGGGAGAGAGCTTGTCCTCATAGACACAGGCTGAGAGCAGGAGGTGCAATCCAATCTCCACTCTGAGGAAGCAACAGCAGCAGCAGTAGGACCTCTAGTCTCCAGGCTCAGTCTTGGATCTGAGCTCCAGCTCCAAGAAACAAGGTCTGAGCCTCTGGATGAAGTAGAGAAGAGTTTCTGTCTGGGTACTTCTGCAAAGAGCTGGTTCTAGACACAGATTGTCACTGATACTAGAACCTCTCCTGACTCCGGCCGGCCAGGCACCTGGGTGGGCTTAGGGTACAAGGCTTCAATTCCATAATGAGCTGAAATCACAAGAGTTGATTGCTGAAGGTTAGAAACTCAGATCTCTAGGCATTTTATGACGCCATACCCTTCATTTGCACACTAGGAGATGCAGTGCCTGGAATTCGGGCTCTCAGAGACTCAGCCATTTGGGGCTGGAAAGATACAACTGAGTGCCAGTTTTTCTGGCTAGTTACTAAGATATTCTTCTCTTTCCCCTCTTCTTTTTCTACCTCATCACATTTCTCCTACTTGCAATTTTATCAACAATATAAATACTGTTTATTAAGTATACACTGTTTATTGGCATACCAACAGAGACTCAAAACTCAGGACATTTAAAACTGAATTCATCATCTTCCTCCCTTGACCAAATTCTTGCCTGACTTATTTTTCTGTACCACCATACATTTTCCCACCAAACTCAAAATTTCAATATTTCCTTTAATTTGTTTTTCAGCTATGTCCCATAGTCACAACTTCCTATATCTTCTTCCTTCAAAACATATTACCTCTATGCCTTCTTTTCTGGCAACATAGCCATTAAGAAAGTTCTTAGCTTCCATTCTACCAGAGGGTGACTAGAACACTCACTTTGATTTCCCTGCTATTCATCTCTCCCAGCTCAAACAGCCCTGCACACTTGCCACATAAGTAATCCTTGCATTGCACCATTTTGAACGTATCTTTCTGGCTTTAAATTTTTCAATAATTGACTTTTGTTTATAAACTTAACTCAAGTAAAGTTTATTATCTTTGGCCGCTCAAGTTATAGCCTGTAAAGTTCCTGTGAACACTGAATTAGCAAATACTGAGCCATTGCTCCTAAGGGAAGTACAGGTTTAGGATCCTGAGATCCTCTGGTCACGACACGTTTATCCACCCATCTGTACACAACCTTTTTTCGCGGTGTTAAAGGTTCTTTATTTAATATATATTATTGATTTATGAGCATTGAATTTATATCCAATAGCACTATATTTCATGCCTGAGTAAAGCTTATCTAAGGCATGCATCTTCTTTTTAAGACAGGCATACCACAGTCTTCAAGACAGCACAGCACCTCAGCACTAAGCTTATGGCCCATTTCAAACAGTGAAATCGCCAACAAAAAGCAGAGCAATGCAAAATAGCTTTCACTATATAGATCACAAAAAGGACATCTGTTTATGGTATGAAAGCAAAAAGTACAAGGACCTTGTTCAGCTGGGAATGGGTGTGTCAGGTGACTCAAATTATTTGCCACTCTATACATGTTCATCAATGACCATGAAAGTACCATGAGAGCCCTAGCCGGTTTGGCTCAGTGGATAGAGTGTCAGCCTGCAGACCAGAGGGTCCTGGGTTTGATTCCGGTCAAGGGCACATACTTTGGTTGCAAGCTTCTCCCTGGCCCAGGCCCTGGTCAGGGCACGTGCAGAAGGCAACCAATTGATGTGTTTCTCTCAGATTGATTTTTCTCTCTGTCTTTCCCTCTCTTCCACTCTCTCTAAAAGACCAATGGAAAAAATATCCTCAGGTGAGGATTAACATAAAAAACAAAAACAGAAAGTTCCCTGAGTATTAATTTGGGACTGGACAAACAAGAGATGGGAAGGCTATGTAACAAATAAACTCAGAGATCCAAACAAAAGGAGCCCATAGACCTTTCAAGAGGCTATTTTCTAGATGATAGACTTACACCTTCTGCATCTTGTCTCCAAATTTCTAATTCTTAGAACAGATTACCTGATTGGCCTAGCTTGAACAAGCTGTCCTTTATCTTCAAGGTTTTTAATCCCAGTGGCTAAAGTAAGGTAGAATTATAATTGGCCCAACCTGGCCCATTCGCCCACCACATTGGCCAGTGTGGCAGAGTCTGGTACCAATGTTAAGTCTGAGAGTGGTGATAACGACAATGATCACTACCCTATTTTCCTTCCCTCATTGAATGTGATGCCTTTTATAGGCAGTCATATTTATATTCAGCCCTATTTTATAGGTGTATGTAAACGTTTCTCATCATTCAGTCATTCATTTATTCAGTAAATATGCCTTAAGTACCTAGTAAATATAGAGATTGTGCTCAGCCTCCCCCACTGTGGGCTCTTAGAGGGCAGAGACTATGGCCTGTTCTTCTTTGACGCACTGATGGAGGCTACTAATGGGCCCAGTGGATTCCACATATAAATCATCCATACCCAAGCAGATTGAGTTTGTCCAGGAATGAGTCCTCTCATAAAGACCAGGTACCTTAATGTAGTTGACTTCATGGCTCCATAAAATGTCACTGATGTTACATTAATTTATCTAAGAATGACCCGGCTAAAAGGATTAGAAACCATACATTATATAGCAGAATAAAAATTTACATATATATTATTTTTAATGGCCCAAGGAAAAAATTCTCACAGACCTTTATAAAACATAGCACCAAAAGAAATTATTCCCTTCTCCAGCTGTGTTAAAATCCATTCATTAATTCATCAAATATCTAACCTATTTGTCAGAAATGAGCAATGGAATAAAGGTATAAAGTGGTTATACACACATGGATCTAGTTATAATGTGAAGAATAAATTAATATTTAATGAGTCTTAATGTTCAATAGTAAGCAATTCTAATGAAAAGAAGAAATTACCATTATCTATATCTTGAACTTAGAAAAGTTATAAAAACAATTAGAACACAATGACTAAAACTGTATAAAAGGCAACACAATAGATGTAGTATACAGATTTCACTTAAGTAACTATGATAGAAATTGTAAAGTCAGACAGACATCCCCAGGAAATTATATCCCCCATACGATGCCATGCTGCTCTTTCTATCTGTCCACACTGCATTTGTTCAAGGGCCAGAGAATTGAAATCGGGGCTCACACACACAAAAAAAAGAAATTTATAGGAGTTCTTTAGAACATTCAGAGCACTTTTCCAAGAAAAAGATATGATCTTTGTCCAGGAAAGCTGTGATGAAGTAGGATGTGTTCTGGATAAGACAACAAGTTCACATCTTAACCCTCCCATCCCAGCAGGTCAACTCAGCCTCTCTGATGACTGGCCATTTCGAAAGTACGTTGGGGCTGACAGTCTTGACTATCTGTGTTTTCTGAGATTTGCACTTTCCCCAAATGACTGCAACTCAATACCTACCAAAGGCTTGCTTAAAGTAGCTGTAATTTGCAAGAAAGGGTCTAAATGGACATGTTAAGAAATGTCTTCTTTCTTCTAGGTTCTCTGAGTAAAGGCCCTGTCATAAAGCAAAGTACCTGGAACACAATACCGCAGCTTCTTACAAAAATGCCTTTGTGAATTTATACCACTCTTAACTTCCATAGATTGCTGGCCCAAGAAGCATTTATTTTGAACCGCATTACTGTCTTCTTTCCTTCAAAATTTTCCTCAAATGTATGGTCCATAGATACCCAATGTCACATCTCCAGGATAATTTTTTTCCATGGAATTCAAAGATAAAGTTTGTCTTTGTAGAGTGAATCTGATGTTTTCTTGTTATCAGATAGTAAATATCATTGCAAATTACCATTTCTCTTTTCTCAGTTTCCAGGAAAGTCAAGGGCAGAATTCAGTGTTTGAGTTCATCTATCAGACAGGTATACGTTCCTGAGGGATAGAGATTTGCACCCTCTTATCCCTCCCTTTATTGCTCTAGTTTGTAGAGTGTTTAATTTTTGAAGCTGTCTCAAATGCTTTTACAATAGGTGGGGGATAAACTTAAAGCAATGCAGATCTAATTTGTAAGCCTTCCTATATTAATTCAAACTCCTGTCAAGGTCCAACATTAGGGGTAATACCTCCTTGAGTGTTTATTAAAATGCTATTTGGCACTGGAAAACGGGGGAAAGCAATCTGTGTTTTACTCTCTTGAAGACATAGCCAGTAAGAACATTCATCTAAGCATCAGTAATAATTAGATCTTAATTGTAAGGCTGTGTTCCAAGTAACATTTCACTCCCTATGGAGTAGGTTTGAGTAATCTGAGGCTCAGATTAATCTTGTCATTTGTCATGAAAGTCACGCTGAAGTAGACACTAAAGTTCAAAATGATGAGATGGAAGTATAGATCGTGAACTTGCGTCAAACCTTCAGAGGCTCTTCTCAGTTAATTAAAACCAAACCTATGGAATAGGAGCATCATGTACCTGCTGTTATATTGTTATGGAATGTAACTGTCTATAAATATACCAAAATAATTTAGTAAATAAGGGTAGCCTGCTCTTGTAACTCCGGTATGGTTTTAAATCCTTTGCTAGCCTCTCTTAGCACTTAAAATAAAACGTTAACTCCCTATATGGCCTGTAAACCTGGCACGATCTAGCCCCTGCCTAGCTCTCCAGCCTCATTTCTTTTCACTATCTTATGACTCACTCTGCTCCATTCATACTAAAGTCCTTTTTATTCCTTTAGCTTCATAATCTCTTTATAATCACAAGCTTTCACATGCAGGCTGTTCCCTCCACCTTTCCATCTTTTCATATCTGGTTCTTCCAATCTCAGTTAAAGTAATGTCATTCTTAGAAGATGCCTCACTATTGTCTATTACAACACTTGCTTATTTCCTTCCCAGCACTCATTGCCTAGGCTCTTGTTTATCATCTCTTACTTGCAATACATAGTAAGCTTCATGAAGGCAGTACCATACACATAGTTATATCCTTACGCTTAGCCAATAGCCTTGTTCCTCTTCTTAGATTACCTTGTGGACTTTTATAATTGGACCTTGCCTAGTCAAATGACAGAACCAGGTCTCTCTTATCGCAGAAAGCGGAACTGAGGCATAGAGAAGTGCAGTGACTTACCCAAGCACACAATGGTAAGACTAGACCAGAGCTCCAATCCAGGGCTCTATTTACCTTTCCATAAATGATCTACTTCCTCATTACATGTTTTCCAACAGGTGAAACTTGACCCATGTAGAGTGATCAACTCGTCCTGGTTTGCCACTGATATTGTCTGGGTGTAGCACTGCAAGTCTCAAGTCACATGAAACCCCTCAGTCCTGGGCAAATTGGATGATTTGTTACCCTACGTGGGCCGGTGTTTATGTTGTGACCTTATCCCCAATGTGCATGTTGATACATCCTCCCTCCTCTCAGTGTGTGTGTGTTACTACATTTAATAAAGAGCATGGGCCGAAACCAGTTTGGCTCAGTGGATAGAGCATCGGCCTGCGGACTGAAAGGTCCCAGGTTCGATTCCAGTCAAGGGCATGTACCTGGGTTGCGGGCACATCCCCAGTGGGAGATGTGCAGGAGGCAGCTGGTCGATGTTTCTCTCTCATCGAAGTTTCTAACTCTCTATCTCTCTCCCTTCCTCTCTGTAAAAAAATCAATAAAATATATTTTTTAAAAAATAAAGAGCATGGGCAGTACATGCTCAGATTGACTGAGATGGATGGTTTTTCAGAAGCTATTACTAGTGCAACTGATCATTGACAGAAAATCAATAAATCCAATGTTTGCAGACAATCTTTGAATTCAGCAGTATTCCCTTTCTTATCAAGGATCTAGAGTCCAACAATCCATTCTCTTGGGATAAATGTGTCTTAATTTGCTCAGGCTGCCCTA